AACAAACAAGCTTATGTTGATATACAGTTACGTTATTACAAGCTTGCCTGAAAAGGTCCAAGTTTACAATAACCCAACTACATCTTCTTCTACAGGTATAGCCTACACTATTGGCTGGTCGGGGCACGCCGCGCTTGCTGCTTGCTGGGCCTGACATCGTGCTCGGGTCTCGGGGACTCTGGCATTGATCGAGCTGAAGAAGATGGCCCCGCCGATGCCTGGCTGGTCGAGACCGCAGGCTTCACCGGTTGGCTTTGAAAATGACGGCGCTCCCAGCTGACTTATTGATGGCGTTCCTTGTACGGGTGGTGTCGCACTTCCACACAGGTTAATATCGCCAATTATTTTCGCCGACAAGTCCAGCTGGGTCATCCGTAGCTCCTCGGCTACATGTGATTTGTACTCACATATAGTTGAGAGGCATTTATTTTTTCTCACTTAGACCTTGCTACAAGGCTGATACCTCGCCTACCAGCAAGCTCGGGGACTTCGTCGCTCACTCCTCGACCTGTGCTCGGGGACTGCCTCGACCACTCTCTGACTACAGCTCGGGGACTTCGTCGCTCGCTCCTTGACTTGTGCTCGGGGACTGCCTCGATCACTCTCTGACCACAGCTCGGGGACTTCGTCGCTCGCTCCTCGACCTGTGCTCGGGGACTACCTCGATAACTCTCTGACTACAGCTTGGGGACTTCGTCGCTCGCTCCTTCACTTGTGCTCGGGGACTGCCTCGACCACTCTTCGACCACAGCTCGGGGACTTCGCGTCTCGACTACATGCGACTGGCGACTCGCATACAGTTGGGATATTTTTTTCCTTTAGACCTTGCTACAAGGCTCATACCTCTCCTTCCAGCAAGCTCGGGGACTACATCGGTACGATGCACCTGATGGTGCATGCTGTATCTAATTAACAAGACTTTTTTAGACCCTGGCACCACGCGTCTATGTCACCTACTACTAGGCTCGGGGACTAAGTGGGCACACTTCACCTTGCGATGAATGTGCTTATTTTATTCGACCCCTACGCTCTGACTGTTGGCCATAACTATTCCTATACAGGGGTCACTTACATTTCTTTTTAGAAATACAAGTGGGCACACTTGATCGGGAAAGAAATCTTTTTCTTTTTTCTTTAGAGCACCATGCATTCTTCGGACAACCGGAATCTTCGGCTGTAACCGTGGTCTACTGCTCTCTGTGCTGACCAGAATACTGGCATATTTGCTTGGTCAATGTTTCAACCAGTTGGAGATGACATGAAGATAGATCGCGTTAGCTGAAGAATATCAAACGGCGTGTCGCGACATAATACATGGTGCTCGGGGACTAGCTGTGGGGGTATTAACCCCTATACCCTTACGGCTAGGTTTGGGCCGTCCCGGACCAGGGGGTCCGGCCTACCAGAAGATGACGCGCGGCCCAGCCGATCTTCTCGGAGTCCCACGCAAGGAATCAAGACAGACTTGGAGATCAAGCAAGATCCTGGTCGGTTAGAATAGGAATCCTTATCCGGCCACATATGGCAATTGTAACCGGTTAGAATTAGTTTCCAGATCTGTAACCATGTCCTCCAGACCATATAAGGCGGGTAGGGGACCCCTCTCAAAAATCATCTCATTGACAAACAGCAATACAATCAGACGTAGGACGTAGGTATTACGCCCTCACGGCGGCCGAACCTAGATAAAACCTCGTGTCTGTCTTGCGTCACCATCTCGTTCGTAGCTTGCGCACCTGTCTGCCGATAATCTACTACCTTAGGCATACCCCTGGGTAGACTGCCGACCATATTTCGTCGACATATAGTCTGGTTGCTGACCATATAGACGGGTAATGGGAGTTTCATAATTGATGACTTTAGAAGGTAACCAATTAATTAAAAACACAGCGGTGGGGAAGGCTTCGTCCTAGAATTTCAAGGGCATGGAAGCATGAGCTAGGAGGGTGAGTCCCATCTCAACTATGTGGCAATGTTTGCGCTCAGCAGAGCCATTCTAGTGATGCGCATGAGGACAAGAGACTTGATGGGAAATCCCTATATGTTTGAAAAAGGAATTCAAAGCTCTATACTCCCCACCCCAATTGGTCTGCATAGCACAAATTTTGCGATTAAATTGACGTTCAACCAGATTTTGGAAATCGCTAAAGCATTGGAAAACTTCGGATTTATGATGCAAGCGATAAATCCAAGTGAACTTGGAGTAGTCATCAATAAAACTCACATAATAATTAAACCGGCCAACAGAAGCCGGAGCAGGACCCCAAACGTCTGAAAACACAAGATCCAATGGACTAGATATACTAGATGACCTTGGATAGGGCAATTGATGACTTTTGCCCTGTTGGCACGCATCGCACACATGCTTATTGTTCACATCTCTAATAAATGAAAGTTTGTGGCGGCTAAGAATCTGCTGAACAATGGGAGCGGTAGCATGCCCTAGCCTATGATGCCACAATGATGCGGAAGGCTTGACAACACAAGAGCTTCTTTATTTCTAGACGACCTATGCGGGGATGACTTGATGGGGTAGAGGCCGCCTTCACATCGGCCTCTGTGGAGCGGTCTCCTCGTCACCTGCTCCTTGATAAGAAAATGATCGGGGTGAAATTCAAGGAAAACATTATTATCACGGGTGAGTCGATTGACAGATACAAGGTTTTTGCTAGCACTAGGAACATGAAGGACATTTCTAAGATGAATCTTACTTGAAGGGGAATGCAAAGTACTATGACCAACATGTGAAATCTCCATACCTGTTCCACTGGCAGCATAAACGTGATCACCACCATGATATTTGTCGCGCATGGTGAGCTTCTCAAGTTCACCGGTGATGTGGTCCATAGCCCCGGAATCCATATACCAACTGGTATCTACCCCATACGAGGTCGTGGCCAATGACACAAATTTCTATGGAGGACCAGCAAATGTAGCATCAAACCTCTTGAAGCATCAGAGGACGGTGTGCCCCTCCTTGCCGCAGAGCTGGCAGATGATGCCTGAGGACGGCCCTCCTGGAGAACGGCCGCCACCACGGCCGCCTTTGTTGCCGCGCCCGAAGCGGCCGTGTCCACCGCGGCCACCACGAGGAGAGTTGGTGTTGTTGCCACCGCCACGGCCTCCCTTTGCCGCGACGTTGGCGGATGACTGGTAGCCTCCACCGCCACCGTGGAGCTCCATCCGCTGCTCAAAGCTGGTGAGCTGGGTGTAGAGTTCCCCCACCAAAATGGGTTCAACCCTAGCTGCCACTGCAGAGACCACCGGGTTGAAATCCAGATCCAACCCGGTGAGAATATAGGAGACGAGCTCCTCATCTTCAAGGCGCCGATTGGCCGACGCCATCTCATCTATTAATCCCTTCGTCTTTGTAAATTATTCACTTATGGAGATTGGCCTCCACACGAAACTTCAGGACGGCATTAGCTATGTCCCCGCCAACCTCATCGACGAGGGAATCCCCATAGCCACAAGCATCGTCTCCTCCCAAGGGTACCTCGACAACGAGGACTTTGGTGACGTCCTCTACTACAGCGGCAGCGGCGGTGACCGTGCGCAAAACAGTCTTCAACACCGCGCTGACCAGAAGCTTGATAATTAAGGAAACCTTGCACTCCACAACAGCTACGAGTATGGCATCGAGGTGCGCGTCATCCGCGGTGTCAACTGCAAGCTGCACAACCGAGGCCACAACAAGGTGTACATCTACGATGGCCTCTACAGGGTCGTCAGCTCCACCTTCGGCCGTGGCAAGTCCGGCTACAACGTCTGCAAGTTCAAGCTCCTGCGCCTCCCCGGGCAGGCTGAACTGGTAGCTGTTGTGGAGGAGGTAGGTAACAGCAGACATATGAGATTCATCTAGCACCAACCAAAACCCATTTGTTGTAATACTTCCAACAAGAAGATCAAGAAACTGAGTCAGAAGCCTTAGAAATGTCTAACTTCAGGTGGATGTGTGGCTCCTTTTTGTGCAGACTCCTAGCCATTTGTTGGACAACTAAGAAGTTATCGTGAATATTCCTTCCTCACACAAAAGCACTTTGATTTGTAACTGGTAAACAAAGGAGCTAATCGGTTGGCCAGGATTTTTGTCACCAACTTCACAAAGCTGTATACAAGGCTAATCGGTCTGTAGTCTTTAACTTGCATGGCATCCGCCTTTTAATGGGTAACAGAGTTATGAAAGCTATGTTGAGGAGTTTAAATCTGAAAACATGACCACACTCAATAGCTGAAAGAGCCTGCAGCACATCACCTTTTATAATGTCCCAACAGGACCTAAAAAATGAATTGTTCTAGTTTGAGTTTGCATCTCAACTTTTGTATGTAAGTACATATTTATATGCACTATATGGATGTTTAGAATTTTTTGAACGATCAAAGTATACTTTTTGAATTGTTTTTTATGTTTTCACCTAGTAAGTGGTTTGCTCTACACCTGTTTATTTGGATTCCTAGACTAGTGTAGTATGTTTTCTACTAGTTTGAGTTTGCATCTCAACTTTTGTATGTAAGTACATATTTATATGCACTATATGGATGTTTAGAATTTTTTGAACGATCAAAGTATACTTTTTGAATTGTTTTTTTATGTTTTCACCTAGTAGGTGGTTTGCACTACAGCCTGTTTAACTGAAGTTTTGGATTCCTAGACTAGCGTAGTATGTTTTCTACTTGACAGCATAAAATTGCCATGTTGCAGAGGCAGTGAAATTGGGAGACCGTTATTGGTAGTTGAGATTCCTGGTGTCTTTGTCCTTTTACTTTCTTGACTGGGAGACCGTTATTGCAAGATGGCACGCTACATAGGAATTTGAGCTGATCTTTCTTGACTGGTTAGCTAAAAACTCAAAAAGTTCAAGGTCTCAAATGTACAATTGAGTTCATGGAACTAGATGAGACTCTAGAACAATTTAGGAAAAAAAATAATCTTAAACCCAACAAGTGCACTACAGGATGAATTTGACATGACAATCTGACTATAATATGTTACACCACAATCACTCCTGCACAGCCTCTGCCTTGGGAGGGGGTGGTGGCAAAGCTTCCTTCACTATCTCCAAAAACTCCTGGACCCATTCATCTTCGTCACGTACATCTCCTCGCTCGTCCCTGGAAAATCGTCTCCCACATTCTTCTATCATCTGCAGTGGAGGATCATAAGGAAACATTAAAATGAAGACTAAACAATTAAGCAGGTTTCTGTGCTTATTTGCAAATAGCATGTTCTAACAGAGAGCAATACCAACCAAATTTTAAGGACATCCCAATCAATTTGATCCCCGATGATATTACGCTAATAAATAAGCTATAATTGAACAGTTTTTGGAAGTGTCATTTAGCATCTGCATAAGTGCACAGCTAATCTAAGTTTTATCTTCCTCTTATTGCAAGAAAATTTCAAAATATCCTTGAGATACATTCATTAAGAATAAGAAAGATAAAGAAATCCAATTTATTGATCAGTTAAAGTTCTGAAGGATGTGAAAAAAAATATAATTGTTATACAGCATGTTATCATGATACTATACTAGAAAGAACAAAAAAACTTGGTGCTTCAGTTTTAGCCCTTACAAAAAGGAAACGGACTTTGAACCTCTTTCAAGCTCCTGACACAAGAATTCAGAAAAGAGAGATTCCTTGAAACATGCACTGTTGCAAACAGTTCACATTTGCTTCTATATTTAGAAATAAGCTTGAGTTCTGAATTCTGAACTGGATGATACCTAGTTATCCTCACAGCAAGCCCAGCTTCAAATACACACTGTTTTACAACAACACTAGTAAAATACTAACACGACAGCAGCAGCAGCAGCAACAGCACTAGTAAACACAGGCACCAACGAAAGACACTTCCATTTGGTAAACCAAAAATCTAACTTCAATGTCCTAGAGAACAATAATTATCAAATTCTTTGATCATTCTAATCGTTTTGATCCCTGATGCCATGAAGCTTAACAGCAGCAGCAGCAACGTCAAAAGCAAGTTGGGTAGGCTAGAGATGAAACCCAATATCATTCACCAATAAAAAGGGACCTACTACCTGATAGACTTGCACAAAATATTCAACATGCACATTGGGTATATGCTTAAGCAGACAACTAACATTGTCTTATTTTGCAATTTTGTTGCAAGAAAAATAGAATATATCCTTAAGAACCATTCATCAATAAACATAATTGGGCATGTGCTTAAGCACAGCTAACATAGACTAATTTTTTCTGTAAGTAGTTGCAAGGAAAATCCAAAATATCCTTAAGATACACTTACAGAGAAACATAATATAGAAATTTAAGCTATGAAAAAGCTTGAAGTTCTTACGAACATGAAACAAGTATAATTGTCACAATAGATTTATTCATTCAACAACAACAACAACAACATAGCCTTTTCAGTCCCAAGCAAGTTGGGGTAGTCAATAGATTTATTCATTATGAGGACAAAATGGCCCCAAAAAAACTATTGCTTCCTTGTTAGCCCTTATAACAAGAAAACAGATTGTTGAACCTCTTTCAAGCCCATGTCATGCAGGAATGCAAAATTTCTTAAAACATGCACCGCTACTAACAGTTAAGAACATCAGCTTCTATGTTTAGAAATAGGCCTTCGTCCCTGATTTTAACAAATACCCAGTTATCCTCACAGCACCCTGAAGGCTTGAACTTCAAACACAATACTGTTTTCAATGACAATATTAAAAAAAAAAACTAATACTGTAGCAGGAAGGACAGTAGTTTATTCTGCATTAACAAAGTAATATAGAAAAATTGGAAAAGAAATTCAAGCTCATTATCAGCAAGATAAACATGAAAGTACCGCATAAGCATCAGCAGCTGAGGACGGCCTCCAGTTTATCACATTTAGCTTATCAGCATCTGCAAGCCTGAAACCCTCACTTCTCTTCACAAATTCAAAAACTGATTCCCTTGTCTGGTTACAAGCAGGGGTTTTTAAGAGGTACTCATACACCTAGTGTGACAATGGTGCATATTAGACCAGATCAGGAATAAAACAAAGCACACAAAAACAAGTCGAGAGGATAAAGCATTGCATACAAGAGCATGAAGAAAAAGTGATCACCTTACACTCTGATGCAGTGACAGCCCCCAAACATCCCATGGGGTCGGTTTTGGCACCTCTAGACCGCAAGAAGTCTAGAACTTCAAAGTTTGTAAGGACCCCCGCATTTGCTTTCTCTCTGCAGAACAACAATGGGCAGTGGTTATCCCAAGCTTCAAACTACACAATGGATGATAGGCAGAGTAGGACATTCGAGACCCACGAGGCCGCGATACAGTCCTCTGTACTCAGGGTCACTGACATCATTGAGCAACACTTGTTCAAAACATGAAATAGAATGGTTATGTCAACACTTAATTACCCATTTACCACTGACAAAATACTAAAGATTATCCAACTACTTCTCAGAAAGATTGTCGCTTGAGATGAATCTCAGTTAAAACCAGTTGAACTTGCAAATCAATGGCACACATGTAAGATTGTCGCCTTTTTGGGAATTGTTACAGCAAACCAAATGTGCAGATCAAAGATTGGAAGCTTAGCGTAACATGCAAAGAAGTAAAAGTAAGCAAAAAAGAAAAGGAAAAAGATAAGTTGCAACAGATTGGAAAGAGATGGGCACTACTAACATCTTCATTGCTGCAGCAGGGCAAGGGTGGGCTACAGTTGAAACTCCCAATATTTGGGGAAAACAATCTGCACCGGCTCCTAGGCTGGGTCAGGTGGTGTGCTGAGGAAGACAGAACTTTTGAGCAAAATGTTCTGTCATTTTAGTACAACAGAGAACAGTCATTAGTACAAATATATAGATATAACTTAATTACATAGTACATATTGCACAGTGCTATTCTAGAATATGTTCAATAGAATATAATGGATAAAATAACATCACCACTAGATGAATACTTATAAAAGGTATGCAAGATTATCACAGGCTCAAGATGATAAGAAGCTAGCAAACAACCTCCTCCCTCAAAATTTCAGTATATGAGCCATATTTCATTGTTTGACCTTGGTCAATCACAAGATCAACAATATATAATGAAAATGAGATTCATATACTGCAGCAGCTTTGCTGTTGAAGAAAAGCAATATGACTGAGACAATGTGTGCTGTCTGCAGACTGCGGTACAGATTATTCTAAGTTACTAGTATTACCCTCTTGGCATTGCTATAGGAAACATGGGCTTTGCTAGTATTCACATCTTCTGAAGATCAGGAAGAAGATAAGTGACACTGTGACAGCACAAAGATTGCAACCTACTCTTTTTTGTGACAGTGGTGTGTCAAAATAACAAAATTGGAATCCAATTCCAGTTGATACTAGTACTAGGTTACATGTTAGAGCAAGAACACCCCAATTAATGAAGATTTGGTTCATGCTGGCCTTCTCATATAGCACATGAACCTAAACCTACACATACAAGTTGGACATTCCTAATAATTAGGGATGCAACCAGAAATGCATACCTGCACGAAAAGAACAGTTAACCAGTTACAGGGAACATTAATAAAGTAACTAAGTATCCTTACGAACAGATTTGTGCCTGAAATCTTGAATTGGTAATCCTGTCTCAAGAAACCCCAAAATGGCAAAAATCTAAAATTCTGAATTATATTGTCAAAATCTGATCTTTCCACTGGCCATCTGTCATGTGGGGCAGCCGGGGACCGGCTGCATGCAGCTAGGACGGTATCCCAGGGGGTGCCAGCTGTAATCAATGGCAATTAGAGTCTGGGGAAGAGATTAGAGTTAATGAGAGATTAGAGTCATTAATGTTGGGGAGAGAATCAAGGAGCCAGAGGCTGGGCGCCTAGGGGCTGAGCTCCTCTATTTATACCCTGTAATCAGTTGAGATTGAGGAAAGCAAAGAACAACAAACAATCCATTTACCCTCAAATATTCTAGTCTCCCTCCACGCCGACTTTGCCCGGCCTTACTCTTGGCAATGGTTATCCTCTCTATCCCCGATATGAACTAGGGTTCATAGCACCATCAACATAGCTCAGGAATGGATAATCCAAGAAACACGAACAAGCAAAGTGCACTTGAGCTTATGCCCATTGTGCCGGATCAATTAACCCGAGCAAACATAATATATGTACTGACATATAGCAAGGAGAACTGATTGCACATACTGCATCTTAGTACCAAATCAAGATCCTTTCTACTCCATATCATCTTATACAGGCATTGCCGCATTGGTATATACAGATACATGAGATCAACAGGCAGCAATAGGAACACTATATAAAGGAATCATCCTTCCTGTAATCAGACATCAGTGGAGTAATGACCCAATTACTAACTACAGTACCAATCAAAGAAATCAGTATGGGTCATGCCCTCATGGAGATTGGGGAAATCAGGAAGATGGAGTAGGACGCATAAACAAGGACCTCCTTGCTTGGCTGCCCTGCTCCCGCTTGGGGAAATTAAAGGGATGAACTGACCTATTTCACTGCTTGCGCTCGGCACCAGTGGGCCGATTGCGGCTGTGTCGATATCTCCGGCCGATTCTCGCAGCAGTTGAGCTCACTGCGCCGCCGCCGGACGTCGGCCGCCGGTCGCCGGAAAGGGTTGCTCGGGTATCGGGCGAATGCGGCCGCGTAGGCGTAGGGATTGGGATTGGGGGAGGTGTTGCTCGGTTGGGCCTGAAAGGCCGTTTTACTTACTTGGGCCGTATCCAATTTATATAAATTGCTACTAACAAATATTCTATATCTATGACATATAATTTATATAAATTCCAATATTGAATATGGTTATATATTTCATGAAAATGTTTGACATATTCGTTAATAGTATAACTGTAAGGAGTTTACTTTTGTAATAAAGCAATACTGCTACGTAAATAAGTCTTTACGGCTTGTATTCGAATTGAAGGTGCTAGCTACTAGTTCGTTCTCACGGTAGGCCGCCCGGTCGTTCTCACGGTAGGCCGTCCGGGCGACGGCTTCTGAGTCTATGCAACGGACCGCTCCAACAGGGCCAGCGCTTCTCTATTAGAAAACAACAGATGGACACTGATTTCCCAATCCTTATTGTTCGCCCGTCGCGGCATTCTTCACCACTGCCCCACGCCTCGACCGTAGCGGTAGATTCCACCGTCCTTTGCCACTTTCTTCTCTCGGTAGCGGGGCCGCTCACCGCGACGTTTCTCCAGGTGTGGGCGCCGCCTCGCCCGCGAGGCAGCACCACCGACCGCCGCCTTCTTTGCCTCCCCCATGCAGGCAGCTCGCCGGGCGCTACCACTCGTCATCGAGACTACGCCACCACGGATTCCAATGTGGTCCACAATGACCGCCGGGATGCGCCGGCGCCATCCTTCCTCTCTCCACCACGCCGAGCCGCCCGCCTGCTGCCATCCTCGCTCTCCACTGCACTCGAGTGTCGCTTGAGGGCTACCGCAGTTCCCCACAAGATAGGCCATGGTCGCCGCCCATGCCATGTTTCAGTTGTTTCAGATATATGCGTTCATGTGTTTCATCTAGATGCTTTGTATGTTGCAATGGCTATATACAAATGTTGCAAGCATATGTTTCATGTTACAAGCATATGTTTAAGGTATTTGAAACATATGTTTCATCTCTAGATGTTGCAGAAGTAATCTAGATGTTGCATAACATGCATGTTGGAAGCGTATGTTTCGAGTGTTTCACGTGTTTCATACGTATGTTGCAAGTGTTTCATCTGGATATTGCAAAAGTAGATCTGGATATTGTATATGTTTTTGCAATAGCTTTCAAGTGTTTTCAGACGTACGTTGCAAGTGTTTTAGTTGTTTTAGACGTATATTGCAAAAGCAGATCGGGATGTTGCACATATTGCAGTGGGACCCACCTGCTGCCGATGCTTGTCGGTGTTGCTGGGGCGTCGCCGTGGGTCACCGTGTAGGGCCTGAGGCCAGCAGACACCTCCACGGTGTGCATCTGCAGGGGGCAGGTGCTTTGGACCCACATGGGTTTCCCACATGTGGCGTGCGACAGTCATCGGGTGAAACAGAGCGAGCACGATGGTCGGAGGCACGAAGCAATGTGGGGTCCACGTGGTAGGGCATGCGAAAACTAAACGGGCACAAGCTCTCTTACGTGCGCGGCAGCGTTCGGACGCTAATGTCTCGAATCGACGTCCGGGACGTTAGCAAGTCCCTAGCTGCAACTGCATGTTTTTTCTTTTCTTTTCTTTTCTTTTCTTTTCATCGTCAAGTATTTAGGAGACAGCGAGCGAGAGGTTGAAGAAACTCCAAAGTTGATATCACAAATATTTGGTTCTGGGCTTCTGGCCTCCACTGGGCCAGGCCTAGCTTAGCACATTTCGCACCTGCCTCTCTATAAGGGCTCTGTGATAACTGATAAACGTAAGGCCCGTTACGGCCCGGGTACCGAGGAAATTAAACGAAGATAGAGACGCAACGGCTTTAACTAACTTTATTAGTTGCCGCCAAAAAAGAAAAAGGATTCGTTTCTTTTCCTTCTTTTTATAAGCAGCGGCGCGGCGTCGTGGCGAATCACTAGCTATCCATCACTCCACTAACGGAGCTTCACTGCTTCAGCTAGCTAGCTAGTAGCCAGCAAGCTGCTGCAACCTGACCAGACCAAGAGCTAGGAGAGGAAGCAGCTCGAGGCGGCAAGGCCCGAGCCCGAGCCCCAACCCCTGAGCATGTCAACCCTCGCTGCTGCCAGCACCGCCGCCTCCTCTTCCTCCACCTCCTCGCCGCGGTGCGTCCCTTTCGCCTTCCGCCGCGGCGGCGCGAGGGGGCGTCTGCGGCAGGCCCCAGCAGCAGCAACAGGCGGCGCCCCAGCGACAACAGCAGGCGTCTGCGGCAGACCGCTGTGCTGCGCCGCCGAGGTCATCGGCGAGGGCATCCAGAACGCCTTCTTCGTGTCCCTCAACCGCTGCTCCTGCGTCAAGGTCCGCACCGACTCCTTCAAGGAATCGGAGTCTGATGCCGCGCCCCTGATGTCGCCGCTGCCGCTGCCGTCACCGCCGCCCCACGACGACAGCGGCGCCGCCGCCGCGCGTAGTGGCCGGAAGGGAGGGCGTCCGCCGGCGGAAAGCCACGGCGTGGGCTCGGCTGCTGGACGCCCAGCAGCACTAGTGTCAACTAATCATGCATGCATGCATCCTCGAGCTCGCTTGCGTGTCAAGCATATTAATTATTTAGTGCGTGCGTTGTTATTAAGCTCGCTGTCAATCCGGCCAATATCAGCCAGTAACCCTAGCTAGCTAGCTAGCTACTGTGTGTTACATTCATTTCTCCATCAGTTGTTGTTGACAGTATAATTAGTAACTAACTGTGGACTGTGGTGTGTGTCACTACTACAGGAATCTTAACCGTGGCGAGCAAAAAGGATTAACCGAGGTGGTTTTTGCAACCACCTCGGACGAAAGGTCACGGTTAATCATGGCCTTAACCGATGCGGTTGCGCTGGTCGGCATAAGACAACCGCCTCGATTAATGCTATTAACGGAGGCGGTTGCGTTATAATGCCCGCCTCGATTAATAATTTCACGAAATATAAAAAAGCCCACCGAGCTCGGTACCACGCGCTGCCGTTGCCCGGGGTAGGATCCACGGCGCCGCAGCCACCGATGGCCGGATCCGCTCAGTGGTCGCCAGATCCACGCCCCACTGCTGCTGATGACTTAATCTGCGCCCCTACTGCCTCCGGTGGTCGGATCCACCACCGTGCCGTGCTCGGAGGAGAGGGAGGGGCCGCCATCGCTGATGCGGGCCTCCCGCGCGCCGCTTCGCTTCGATGTGGTGGCCGGCCACGCCGAGAGAAAGCTTGCGTTCCTCCCGCGCCAATATTCACGCCTCCACGAGAGGGAGGCGCCGTTAATAATTCCTCACGCCTCCTCCTCCTCCCGAAGACCGAAGAGAGAGACGAGAGAGAGACGGACATGCGTGGAGTTATTTCCACTGCGCTCTAGAAGACCGCGCCGCTCAGAGTTATCCCGTGGGCGGAATGGGAAAACCACCGATGCCGTCTCTAGTTTTGTGAAACCACTACACGCGTGGCGAGTCACGAGTGGCCACCAGCCCCGCTTCTGGATCGCTTACATGGAGTAGCACACGGATCACCCCAGCACGCAGCACATTTGTGCTTTCTCACTGCGACCGACACGTGGGCCTCACTCCCATTCCTGTGCGCCCACGCCTCGAGGTCTGAACGCAGTTAATAATTTGTTAGCCGAGGCGGTTGTTTGGAAGCGACCGCCTCGGTTAATGTCTATTAACCGAGGCGGTTATATTACATTACCCGCGTCGGTTAAGTATTAACCGAGGCAGTTGCTGGATAGGTTACCCTGCCACGAATAACTGAGGCGTGTAGCCGGCCCGCCTGCCTCCGAGGTCCAAAGTAAAACGTTGTGTAAAAGATTTTATGTAGCAGTGTGTCCTGGCTCCATTTATTCCAGCTGGCATTCGAGCTAGCTAGCTTGAAATAATATGCACGCATATGATCAATTGATTATGGAGGTGCCAAGATCGAATCATATCCATCTGTCGTCGCACTTTAATTGCTCAATCTCACTGATGTACTCTTGCTTGCACGACTTATTAATTAAGTTACGAAATGTAGTTTTCTTGTTCCTTGTTTTCATTGTTGCTGGTTATGTATTGCCCAGTCTGGATCCCAATTTCGTCCTTATCAATATAATAGGCAGTTCTCCTGGATCTCCGTTAAAAAAAAACCTACTAGACATATAGGATATGTATAATATATTGATTGTACATCTTTGTACAAGAACATAATTCTAAAGAAACTCTTTTTCTTTATTAACCTATAATTTTACTAATTATTAACATAGAAGAGCCCAGGATTTTCCTATTTTCTTAAAAGAATAATTTTGCTAAAACTCCTGCCAGATTTACGTTTAAAATGGATATACATATTCATCGTACATACAAATTGTTCTTATTTTGACTGAGATGGATCCTTCCATCCAAATACTTCTAGTAATATAAACAGAGTAGTTACAAGATAAATTTTTTTCAGGTGCATAGTGCTACCTCCACACAATAACTTTTCCAAGTGTACGTGTATATATGCTCATTAATTGACACTGAGGTATAGATTAAATCCGGCTAGATATAAATCCGGCTGGCATCGGAAATATTCGTCACGGTGACATATATTCTCTCATGTTTGATACACTTTAATTTATTCCATATCTCATCCTCTCTTTTTTAACTTTCTGCGTATATATGGTGAATGGTTCGATTCCCAGAGCATTATATATGATGTGATGATGTATACTATAGCTTAATTTCTTGGTATGGTGGTGCAAGTGCAATTCCTTCGGCACTACGTATACTGTATTCCTCAATAAGCAACTGCATGCATTGGGCGCCACTTTAGTTTTTCCTCAACTGTACCTCCAATAATACAATTCTTGCATTTTTTTTAGGATGGAAGAACGAAGCTTTTGATGCTACTACGATAACAAAGTTTTGTCGTCCCCTGTTTGCTTCTAGAAACAACCGATTCTGGGTCTTGCATTGAACTCTAGAAAAAATTGATTCTATATGCTATTGTTAATAACAATGCATGGTTATGTTTGTATATATACAGAAGCTACCTTTTAGTAATTTCAGAGAGAGAGAGAGAGAGAGAGAGAGAGAGAGAGAGAGTTTAGCTGACGGTCCTTCGCTTATTCTCTTCCTATCTGCACCATCCATTTTTTTTAAATTTTTGTTCTGTTTTTTTTCATAGGGAAGGGACCAAAAGAAAATTATGACACAGAGAAAGGAAATCTTGATAACAGGCATTAGCCCAAAACGGTAGAAAACTTGATAACAAAGTTTTTTTTATTATGTGATCAAAACGGTAGAAAACTTTCACCTATGCTGTCTCACAAGTCATCATTTTCTTCAAGTCTACATTGAATTGAAGGGCTTTGTTCTGAGATTCTGCTGGAATATACCCTTTAGCCCATGACTTGCCCATTTCTAGTTAAACAAGGACTAGCAGCCAGCTCCCTCCATGTGATTTCCCACTGTTTCCCGGCCGGAACTTTGATCCTTGTTCCCCCCATCATTTCAACTCATCTCATCTCATCTCATCTGGTTATAGCCTAGCTAGCTTTGTGAAGAACCAATGGGAACCCGGCTACATGACCCCGATTTCAACACACCACACACGGTCCAATCCAACAAAGTAAAGCTGCTTGCTTCTTCGTTACCCATGCATCTTTTCTGCGATTATCTGCACTTTAATCCAGACTTATACAGTCTTAAAAAAGAATTGGCAAATTACAAGAGATTACCCGCAACGTACACCTGTCCAAGAAGTATAGCTGCAGGCCTGCAGTCAAAATATAGGGTTAGTTCATCCATCCACGTCCTTTAAAATTGCAATGCAAGGAGAGAAATAAAAGATGGCATGTACGACGACAAATATAATACTGAATTATTCATCTCAACACATGCATGCATACACTAGTCTAATCCCCAACAGTACATTAATTAACCAGATTAAAGCTGCACCTCCATGCATGCAAAGCAAGCAGCAAGCGCAGGAGCTGCTAGCTGCTGTGTGCCTGTACGTGGACACCTGGCCCAGTCTCGCCTCTCGATCGATCAGTTCATCCTCCCTGTCTAACAGAAACAAGGATCTGGGACTTTAGGTCTCCTCGATCAGTCGATCGCCTAGATTCCCAGTAGCTGAAAAGGCTGCTTTATCCCCCAAATCCTGAGGCACACCATGTGGCCTCCACCCCCAGAGACCTCGCTAGATCCCATCCCTCATCGCCGGCCGTGCAGTGCACCCCATGATCCATAATCCATCAGCCTCCATTTTCCCCTCTGCAGTGCATGATCTGATGCACTGCATCATTCAGAATTTCAGATACAGACACGAGCTCGCAGGCTTTGCAGCTAGCAGGTAGTAGTGGTAGCTACATATGCTTGTGACACCTGTCCGGCAGCGGCAGCTAGCCCCACGCCTAATAACTAACATAACAGATTATATATTGCATTGCATACCACTAATCATCTTCCATTTATAATTGAGCAAAAGCAATCCTGCAGACGCCCTTTAATAATGTCTGAATGTCTGATGAGTGTGTTCAGTTTGGTCGACGACGACGATCGATCTCTCTCGCTCGTATCGTGCTCCCCACTTGCTGAAGCTCAAGACAGCTGCTTTATTGCATGCATCCCAGTAGACAGCAGATCTAGCTAGTACTAACTCCTAGTAGTGCATGTGTGGTGAACAGAGATTCGTCAGTCAGTGTGGCTAGCTTTTGGCGGGACTGCTTGCATGCATGCATTTGCATTTGGTAGACAGTAGACTTGACTAGGTTTAAGGGCTGATATTGCTATATCTTGTTTCCAAATGCGGTGCAAGCAAAGGCTGTTTCCTTCTCCCTGAAGGCTTGCCCTGTTCGAGTATTGTTGGCTGATTTGTTGTGAGAGAAAAAATACTGTTCGTTCGCTGAAAAAGTATGGCTCACAAGACAAGCGAACAAGACCTTTGTCCCTGGCTGCATCATATGCATGCATGCAAATGCAATGCAACCGCAGGTCCACAACCAACCAGAAGCTTTGTTCTTCATTGTTATGTTTATCTCTGCTGGCTTATATACCATTTTTCTCTTCTGTCTACAAACTAATGGAAATTAAAGCTAGATTACTTACTTGCGATGGTAGCTAAGCAACACGGCTGGCATATTCCATTTCATTCGACTTTAGATTACATTATGGAGATAGTGACATATATATGCCCTTCGATCATCTAGTCCTGAGCGTGCTCCTGAGCACTCTACTGTGTGCAGCATGACGAGGGTTGCTGCGCCCGCCCTGCGTCTTTGAATAACATGTAACCTACCTACCTGTAGCTTTCAGTGGCCTAATAATAATAATACAATTATGTTTAAACCTGAAAGCAGGCTGAAACTAATTAAAGGACCCATCATCGATACACGCTAGGCTGCACTTGCTTTGGCTGAAATAATCTAGAAAGGTAAGCAGGTTATTGCTGCAGCTAGGTCGATCCATGTCCTCCATCACTCACTGATATAATCACTTGCTGTTGTCTGCCTGTCCACACAATGCATCATGCAAAGTAGTGGTGGTGGTCGAGCATATATATATGTGTATGCAACATGCTGGGGTCAATGTGGCTTTATTAGCTTTTTACTGAGTGTTACGCATGGCTTGCAATTGCAAGGCTATAGAAACTGTTCCATAAAACTGTGCTTGTCTGCCTACGTACAGAAAAATTAAGGATGCTCGTTAGGTCGAACGTACTTATAGAGCAAACAATATGAAACTAACCGGCGGCACCTTTAGTTGCATATATGCCCTACTGGATATATAGAAAACTTTCGTTCCATCGGTGTCCGGATTATTTCATTTCTACTACATAGAATTGCATATTTTAAAATTGATCCCAAAGAGAAAGTTTATTTTGAAAACAACCTAGAAGAAGGAACTGTTGAAGCTATTGCAAAAATTGCATATTTTTTCATACAGTTTATGATTAAGAAAACCCTACAATTTAGAAAGTTCTACCTTTTTTGCTATATTTCTTCTGAGTCTGATGGGTTTCGTCTTTACTTTTTCTCTCGCAGAAAGAGAATCAGATCTTGGATATGGGTTGATGTGATCAAAATTCCGGCGGACAAGATTACTAGTAGTTAATAATTAAGAAGAAGGATACACGTATAATTAATCCAGTTAACTAGCTCTCGTTCATCTTCCTTAGTGACTAAGGTTTAGAGAGAGGCTACCTAGCTTCTCGATCCATCACTTGATTGGGGTGAGGTAGCTACTAGTAGTTCCTGTTAGTTTGCTGCTGTGCCTTGCATTGGGGATATATGCATGCAACCAACCATATCCACCCATGGATACGCAAATGGCATGCACGTCCCTCTCAATCGTCACCACACCTCTTGCATTGCTCTCTCGGCCCTAGACTAGACAGTAGACACAGCATGTTTCCAAAGCTGTGTGCTTTACTTGCTTTGTTCTACCTACTACTAACTTTCACCTTCTTTTCCCAAATGCAAGGTTTATTTATTTATTTCAGATGTATAACTCATCAGCTGAGGTCCTGTTCGCTTGAGCTTATTCAGAACTACTTTTCAGCCATAAAACAGTATTTTCGTCGCACAATATTTCAGCATAAGCATCAACATAAGCCAAATTTCAGCATCAGCGAACATGGTGTGAGCTTTTATTGCTAGATTTTGTTGGATTCAAAGTGAACCTTTTAATTTGGGGATAACCTCTGTGGAAAAAGCGATTTGTTCGGTATGACAAGACGATCGACTCAAATATTAAGCATGTGATCGAAACCAGTTTGTTTCATATCTTGAGAATGATAGACTAGCTTTCTTTTCGTTTTCAAACATTAAGCTCTTTATTTGACTATACACAAAAAAAAACATTTTTATTTTTGACAAAATCTTGACTTTCTTCCCCTTGGTTTAGAAAACTTGTCACTCTTGCAAGCTAAGTTCATAGTTTTGATGATGGGGATATATATCCGTTTGCCGCAAAGTTGTGTGCCACGACAACCCACCCGTCGTCGATGCAAATAAAGCTTGTTTTTTTCTTCAATAAAAAAATATATTATAAAGAAGAAAAAAAAGGAGAAGCAAGAAAGGTGCCACGTCAGTAAGCACTAGGGAGGGAGCAGGGCCCACCCAGAGGCGACCCCCCGGTCTCGCCGCCGGGGCTATAAATAGGGGCGTCCGTTCACTTGTTCCCTCCCTTTTCCCTCTCTCACCCCTCGAGCCCCTCTGATACGCTGCTAATTACCATTCTGCCCCTCCCCTGCACTCTTGCCACTCTAGTACTGTACGTGTCTCTGCAGCCATGGCCCACCAGTTCCCCATGCTGTCGGAGTGGGACCCCGCCCTGGACCTCGAGGTCGAGGCGTTCCTCTCCGACATCGGCTTCGGCTTCCTCGGACCTGACGCCACACCCACGTCGCCTACGACGCCGACGCCGACGCCGACGCCGCCGCTCCTGGACGTGACGACGACTACGACTACGACTACGACTACGGCCACTGCTACTACTACCTCAGCCGCCACCGCAGCCACGCCGCCGGAGGAGGACACGTCGGCGTCGGCGTCGCTGTCCGCGGCAGACGCTGACGAGGTGGAGGAGCGTCGGCTCCGGCGCAGGATCTCGAACCGCGAGTCGGCGCAGCGGTCCCGCGACCGCAAGCAGCGGCACCTGGAGGAGCTCCGCGGGCGCGCCGCCCGCCTGCGCGCGGGGAACCGCGACCTCGCCGCGCGGCTCCGCGGCGTCCAGGCCCGCGCCGCGCTCGTCCGCCTCACCAACGCCCGCCTGCGCGCCGAGGCCACCGCCCTCGCACGCCGCCTCGCCGCCGCCAGCCGCGCCCTGGCGCTGCGCCAGATCTACGCCGCCGCCTCCGCGTCCGCGCCTGGTAGTGCCGGCGGCCCCGGCACCGGCAGCGGCAGCGGCAGCGGCGGGTTCTTCGAGCTGCAGGCGCTCGCCTCGCTGATCGCGTAGCCGGCCGGGCATCGAACGTCTGAGGAAGAGGAAGCATGCGTGCGTGCGTGCTTGCACGTGCGGATCTTTTTGACTGGATCACCTCTCGAACGAACGAACTGAAAGCAAGAAATTAAGAGAATGAAAGGGCTTTTAAACTTAACCATGGATCACGATTTGAAGAGCCAACAGGATATATATTCTTGTAGATATAGACCACTAGCATAAGCAAGCAATTCTTGATGCAAAAATGTTGAACTGCACCATGATTTTATATATATGCACAAGGAATTGAATTTGAACGATCGACGTTCGTCCGATCCGGCCGGTTCTAACAAGAATGCATCCATGCATGCTGCTTATGACAAACAAATCTGCACGAAGCAAACATGACTTGTTTTCTCCGGCGAATGAAATTTACTTACTGGTACCGCATGCACCGCCGTGTCCCGATCCCTCTTCATCTTGGTAAAATTTCCGGGTTACCTCTGCCAAAGTAAAAACCACTTAGGGCCCGTTCGTTTCAAGGGGAACGTGGCCTGAAATCATTCCTAACCAATTTGCTTGCATAATTTGTATACGTTTTGATCATCTGAATTGATTCCTAGAGGAATACTGACTAACTGAACAAGACCTTATTGGAATGTTTTGCGCTGCCAAACTCTCCTCCGTCTGTTCCGTGGGCCGGGCAAGCTAAGGCCGGGGACAGTTTGGTACTTGTCACACTCAAGCGAGAATTTCCGTCACCACTGAACTGACGTGATTAGTTGGCGGCCATCCGATCATCGAGTTGCATATATGCTTGTCGTCCCGGCCAGTAGGCATATATTTTCCCGCCCGGCCTGGTCTTCTTTTCCCACGCTCTTGATCGAGATGGCGCGAAAGCGAGATATGCATGTCCCGCGACGTATCTTATTAGCTCAAAACAAAATTCCTTAGCGTTCGATATCAGTATATACACATCGTGTCATTCTGTGTGTCACCCCAATTATTAAAGGTTTCAAAAAAAAGTATATACACATCTTGTCATTCTCGAGCCACTACCGGAATCCTCAAATTTGCCAAGTGTTTTTATGTTTGCCGAGTGTATTCTCTCGGGCACTCGGCGAACAAGTTCTTTGCCGAGTGCCGCGCTAAAAACACTCGACAAAAAAAAACACTCGACAAACAGAACGTTTTGACGAGTGTCAAAACAAAAACACTCGGCAAAGAGGTTGTTTACCGAGTGTTAAAAAAATACACACGGCAAACAAAAATAAAATCTTTTTTTTGGAAAAAGGAGAAGAAAAAAAATGAAAAAAATACTTTGCCGAATGCTCAGATCTAAAACACTCGGCAAAAAAAAGTAGGAGAAGAAAAAATTAAAAAAAAAACTTTACCGAGTGCTCCATTGGGACACTCGGCAAACAACAAAAATGTCTACTTAACCTAACCGCGCCCAGCACCCCACCCCCTCCCGTCCCCACCCCTTCTCTCTCCTCCCCCCCCAGCGCCCCCTCCCCTTCTCTCAAGCGCCAGCGCCGCCGCCCCTCCTCCCTCTCGGCGCCAGCCCAGCCCTCCCTCCCCCCTCCCCCCCTCCCCCCCCTCCCCGCCCGCCCTCCCCCTCCTCCTGGCCTGCGCTGCCCTCCTCTCCTCCTCTCCCTGGCCGGGCCTCCCTCCCTCTCTCCCCTCGCTGAGCGGCCCACCTCCCTCCTCCTCACGCCACATGTGCGCCCCTCCGCCTCCCTCCTCCTCCTCACTGCCCTCCCCTCCCTCTCCCGGATCCGGCTACGCCGCCCCCTCCCGGCCCTCCCTCTCTAGATCCGGCGGTGACGGGCGTGGTGGTGGTGGCGGAGGGAGGAGCGGCGGATCGGGTGGCGTGCTCGTCGGCATTCGCAGCTCCATGAGGAAGGAACGGGCGACGCACGACGCTGGCGAGGACGGGCTTGGGCGAGGCTCGTCGAGGTGAATGGCACGGCGGTGGAGGCTCGACACCGCGGCTTCCTGGTGACGGCGAGCAGAGGTGGCCGCGGCGAGGGCGTCGCAGCTTAAGCGGCGTGGCGGAGTAGGAGCCCGCGATGGTCGCGGATGACGACGTCGCTGTGGTGAGCGGCTCGAGGAGGCGGCTTTGCTGGTGGCGCGGTGGTGGTGTGCGCGTGGTGGGGCCCTCCCTTCTTCCCCGGCGTGCTTTTTTTTTTTTTTTTTGAAAAAAAAGTTTGCCGAGTGTTTTTTTGGGCACTCGACAACTTCTTTGCCGAGTGCCCGACAGAAAACACTCGGCGTTTGCCGGCAAACCCTTTGCTGAGCGTTTTTGGGACTTCGCCGAGTGCCCTTGTCACTCGGCAAATATCTTGTATCCGGTAGTGAGCTAAGGTTGAACGAACGACAGAGGACACAAGCAGCAGCTGTTGAAATGTGATCACTTCGGCTAATCCCAAACTTAATTATGAGATTAATTAAGCGTTAACCTTTTGGTTCACCCACTCGTCATTTATTTCCAACTAAATAAGAACTGCCGTGATCGGCGGCAACCCTTAGAATTCTAAGGGTTCGGCCCCCTGGCCCAAAGTGCGATTATAAATAAGAGAGGCGCCCCTGGCGTCATGATCTCTCTAATCCCTGTGATTATTCACATAACCGATCGATTAGGCGCTGGAGGAGGGTTTAGGAAGGCCGTCTACCCACGTCCATCCAAGTATTGCAAGATTTACATCGCGTTCTTCACCAACTAGGAGCATTAAGCCCCGATCTGGTGAAGACCAAGACCTACTTCATCTACATCAACTTCACATCTCCAGCGACACAGATGGTGTTCACGGGCTCTGGTTAGTATCAGATTAATTTCCGCATAACATTTAGTTAGTGACCATGTTTAGACTATGACGGCTTTATTTTTTTATTATAATTTGTGGCGTATCACTGTCAGGGAATCGAAGAAGAAGCTGCTGGCTAAAGGTGGCTGCAGTTGGCTCGTCGCCGTCGTCGCCACGTTCAAAGCAAACATCACGAACAGCTAGCGTTGTTGTCTACGTCTCCTAAGCTAATTGTGCGGGGTTCGCCTTCGATAATAGCTGTGATTCCTTAAACCGTACGTACCGCCGTGTGAGAACGACATGCAGTACGTAGTAGCGAGTCTGACATGGGTGGCCCACACGCAACAGCATGCAATGTTCATCGATCACACTAGTAGATATGATTGAGACCTCATCTAACTGGAATATTTATATTATATAAAAAAGCAGTGAGAACTAGTAAAAGAAGTTTGAGGTGCATCTTCATTCAGATGCCATTCATGCATTCTTTGTTGCTTTCTTCTTGTAATCTACCGCCTGTCTTCATCTCAAGTAAAGCTGGCTCTCCATTATTGTTATCATTAGTCTCCATCAGTTGCATATGTACACACTCTGATGACGCAGAGGGTGTCGTATGAAGCAGCGCTGCTACCTGCTAATAATCTAGTATTAATCTAGTATACCAATGCAATATGGCTGGTTGTTCTTGTTGCATCATTATTACACATCTTTGTGAAAGCTCAAACTAATCTCCTGTGCATACGTAAAGTTTATTAACAGGGAGGTTTGAAACTATATATTAAGCCCCCCGGCCGAATAATTTCTCTAGAATTTTGTAGAGTTGTCCTTGAAGTAAAAAAAAAAAAATCGCTTCACTTGTGCAGGCCCATAGAGCATCATCTAGCTAGCGAAGCCTAGGGAGGCACCATTTCCAGGCCCAGATCGTGCCTTTGTCAGGAGCACTCACCGGCCTCGAAGGCCCATGGCCACACGCCCACAAACATCACAAATGAGTGCAGCAGTAGCTGTTTTTTATCGTCCGTCACCGGTGCGGCCCCGAAATTACACCAGTAAATCACGGCTCGATTGACAGACAGCAGCACTCTGGGTTGGCCATTGCATTTGCACCGCCCCTGACTCTCGAGGGAATGGCATGAAAAAGCAGAGGGAGCAAGAAGAGGACGCGGCGGGTTTTCTCTCAGCAGATTCATAGAAAAATTGTCCTTGCATTGTGGTGAAGTTGGATTTAGGGAATAAAGATCGCTAGGGCACCGTATTGCCATTGCAAGAGATGCTGCATTGCTAGCTGTGCAGGGCAGTGTTGTTTTTTGTTGGTCTCGTCTCCTCTTCCTCGCTGCTTAATTTCACTTCACTGATCGATCAGTGATCACCCATGGTAGCCGCTAGCCTGCAACGAACGAACTACTGTATCAAGCATGCATGCCTGCCTGTCTGCCTGACGGTGTCGTGTCGTCTGGTCTGGTCTGCTCCGAGTCCGATCTGATCTGAGCTGGGAAAGGAAAGCAAAGCAAAGGAAAAAGGCTGCATGCCCGGGACCGTGCCTGCTCTGCTCTGCATTTCTTTCTGCAATAACGACGAAAGGGAGGAATGGACGGAGCCCATCTGTAGAGCTTGGGCAGTACTGCTACAGAGACAATTCATCAGACAGAGAAAGAGGTGGTCAGGCCAGTCCAACCAGTGGATATGATGCTGGATTACTGCTTGCTTGGACAACCTGGTGGAATGTTTAGTCCATTACTCTTGGGACACATACATGAACTAAAACCCTAAACGTGAACTAAAAGTAATGGACAAAGACATACATGCACATTTCAGTCTAAATTTGCCGAGATTAATTGGGTTGGGAACTAAAAATTTATAGTCCACCCGACACCCAGGCCTAAAGTCTAGAAGACTAGAGTTTAGTATCATGCACCTGACCGCCATGGATGATGGATGGAGCCTTGCCAATTTACCATTTGACTGTTCAATTCAATCAGAGATTGGGCTTTGCTGCTTCTTATTTTCCGTTCTTCAGGCTCTCTCCCTTTTGCTTTGCTCGCTTGCCGCCTTTACGTGTTGTCTGTACGTAGTACACTGTATAAATGGAAGGAGAAGACATGTCGACCTTTTTATGCGCATCAGCCGCTGTCCTGTCGTCACTCGACAGATCCTCCGCCATCTACAGTGTGCCAAGCTCATGCACTTTTCTAGTTGGAGTATTTGTTTCATTCATTCATGGCGAGCAGCGAGCAGCGAGCAGCCACTACCACTACCACTAGAGACGACAACGAGATGGCTGCCCTCGTTCCCTAGCTGGTAGCTGCCACTGCTTGCCACGCGGTTTGCACTCGCAATTCCGTTGCCTGCCTCCAATGGCCACCAACTGCTGCACCGCCGCCAGGGCCAGGCGTCTCTCGGACATGCTGCGGGAGCAGCAGGAGCCGCCCTTCCTCCTCCTCCACCTGCTCCTCCAAGACAACGACGACGACAGCGCCACGCCGGCCCGCACGCCCGCCGCCGCGAGGAGGAGGCTGCTGCGCGGGAGCACGGCCACCGTCACCAAGCTGGCTCTGCGCTGGGCGGACGACCTCCTCGCCGGCTGCTTCCCGTGCGCCGCCACGCGCCAGAGGTTCCGCCGCTTGCAGCGCGCCGACCACGGAGACGTCGTCGCTCCCGCTGACCACTACGACCGCGGCGGCGGTGCCGTTGACTGCGGGAGGCAGCAGCTCAGCCCTGTGTCCGTCCTGGACCTGCACTCCGACGACGGCGAGTCGTCGCCCGTGCCCAGCCACCGTAAGCACTCCTAAGTCCTAATTCGTCTCTGCAAGCAAATGCTGCATTTTCTTGCCGCCATCTCCGGGCTTCTCCTCCTCCGTTACAGGCTTACAGTCAGCCAGCCACTCTGTTTGTTCCTCGATAACAAAGCAGGGGATGAGCACAGCGACGACGATGGCAATGGCAAGCCATCGACCTCAGGCTCAGCGACAGGGACCTCGCCGCCATCCATCGACCTCTCCGGCAAGATCCCCGCAACGGAGGAGAGGTTTCAGAAGAAGTGCGCCGCGTTCGCGTCTGCCTTGCAGTGGGAGAGCGTCGCGGCGGACATCTCCCGGATCCCGAGCCTGGTGGAGCTCGACTTGTCAGCGCCTCCGCGGGACGACTGGCGCCGCCTCGTCGGCGGCGGCGGGGAAGAGGAGGCCCGGCAGTTGGTTCAGAGCATCGAGGCCATCATCTTCGAGGAGGTTAGGTGGGAGGCCGTCCGTGACATGGTCTGCTCGCCACAACACTGACAGTTCATATGGTTGCTATCTTTCAGAGTTTGCGTTTAATGTTTTGTACAAAAAGGAATTTGCAATTAGTCATCTCACCAGCTAAGGACCCACCTGCCTTTGGGACGTGGAGTGAAATTGGTCAAGTGAAGCCACTCAACATTTGAACTGCCACTTTTTCTCCACCTGTATATTACTGTTGTTTAGCAGTGGTGGTGCAGAAAGTGAAAGAACAGAACTTTTTTTTCTCTCTCCTCTAATGTTTCTTTTCTAAAAACAAAAAAGGTGAGTTGTAGCTTGCATGCTCTAGTCCTGAATCCTTGGAGGTTTTTTCCACACTTCGCTGCTGCTGTTACTTGAGTTCAGTCTGAACTCTGAACTTTGGTATGGTGAATGACTGAATGTAACTGGCTACTTACATGTTAAACAAATGGTGAATGTACTCCACCGACTGGTAGCAGCAAAAGGCAGATCACAGGTCGAGTAGGTACAGTGACCTTATGTTTTGGGCATTACATTTGGATGATCCTATCAAGCTATCACCACACTATGCTTTGAGTGCCCTGCAGCCCTGCTGCTCCCTCCTCAGTTCAGAGTCTCAACTTTCCTCCTCTTCATGCTTATTGCTCAAGCGAACAGAGCTTTTGCAAATATGAATCTCAGGATCAGAGGGTTCTAGAACTTGGTTCCAAAGGACTCTTCTAGTAGGAGATCAAGAGTATTGTCTGGTGATTTGTCACCACCAGACTTGAAAACGATGAAAACTGTCTGATAATGCAATTGACAGGCTCTCTGTTTTTTCTAAGACTCCCTAGGCGCCAGGCAAACTGGCATAATCAACAGTTGACTTGATCGCTGCAAATAGGTCACGAACTGGTAATCTTTGTCACACAGATCTGCATCAGCACGACTAGATCACGACTGTCATTTTGTTTTTTTCCAACGCATCCAAGAACGGCCCGTTCTGATCTCTGCATGCTTGAAAATGGATAGGAAAGTGATCCACTGGAACGGATCCATATCAGCTGGAGCAGATGAACAGAAGCCAGTGTTGTGCCAATCAGAGCCAGTGCTGTGCCAATTAGAGCATGCCATGCAGTTGGGTTCAGATAAAGGCGATATGCTGACAAATTAGCATTTAGCGCCCAATGAGACTCGACTCCATCCCATCATCGGCCGAACTCCAAGCAAAAGGTTAGTAAGGAAAATGAGCCAGGTTGACAAAACATGTATAACATGGTGCATCGGGATTATCACATAACTGCATCAGAAGTTGTGACTAAAAGCATCTCCTTTTAACTTAATAACAAAATTTTTAGCAAGCAAGGTTTATTTTTAATCTCTCCATATTTAATCTGTTACAGGAGACAAAGACAATGTAATTTTCTTGTTCAGGCGTAGGATAGCATATGGATTAGACCATGGTGGAAGATCATTATCAAATTTCCATGGGCGGTTCTAACAAAATGGAACAAGCTTGCATAGGGACCACATCAAAATCAATTGATACAAAAAGTTTTACATGGATTTACCCCTCTCTTACCACTATTATTGAACCATTGAAGTTTATATGGATACAAATGTTGTCGTGTGGTCAAGCCGCTTCAAGCTTGTCAACCAATCTCTGAACTCACCAAGTTGTTGCAACTCCCGCTATCAATGATTGTGAGAACACGACAACCCCGATGAGATATATGGCCCAAATTGTGGCGTTGGATCTTCATCTCTTCTTCATGTCCCGGATCCGCATACTCAAACATCCCTCCTCCTTGCACAAGAAGACTAGACTCCAGACGGTGGCGCGAGGAAGAGTCAATGGTGATGAGATGCTCCAAGTCTTGATCCCCTCGGTGGGATCTCTATCAATGTTAGCAATGAGACCACTAAATCATCTTCAACATCACTGAGCACTTACATATCCATCCGGATCGGACTTGCAATGAAAGCCGACATTTGGGGCAATCCTTCATGACATGTCCCATGCCTTTGCATCGGTGGCAAATGATTTTGAGTGACGAGGAGGAGCTGTAGAAGCACCAACTTGGCACCTTTCTTCAATGGAAACGCACATTAGACAATTTACTTACCCCGAAGAAAATGGAGGTGGATGGTTGTGGTGCAACAGAAGCTTAGCGCAGCTCAAAATTCCTCCCATTGTTAGACATGGTAGGCTGATGTTGTTTGTGTCCTGCCACACGTATGATCCAAGATGATTTGAAAACAACTTCGCCATTCTTTGTAATTAAGTATGTTACTGATATCATGGTTTAAACCACCAAAAAACTAGCACTAATCATTTATCTTCATTTATACCACAACGCCAACCAATAAGTAATTCTTGATACTATGCTTCACTCGTTTATCACCTTGTTTTAAAGTTTGTAGTTTCAAATCGATCACGTTGGTAATAAGGAGAAACAAAATGAGATTTCATCATTTAAACATCCAAAGTGGCGAAGCAAGGCCAAAGTGCGTGGGAGCATAGATGAACAAAACTTCAAATGAATGGTGGCTATGGGTAGGCACAAATGCCAATTGGTATTAGCAATTAACTCCGCTTTAATGATTGTTTAATTCGCCAAAAAGTAAAAGGGCACATGTGTGCAAAGCGTGTCGAGACGTTTCAACACAATTTGAAAACAAAAGACGATCGAAAGAACTCACGTGGGTGGCAAATAGCTCATTCGCAACTCCACACCAGAATTTTTGAATAACTTTTTCCAAAAGGCACTAGTAGGAAACAAATTTTTTTATTTTTGATACTATTTTTTATATACTTTTTATAAACAAGGATCAGGAAGATGCAACCACAAAAATTGGCACCTATAGATGCTTGAGGTGGGATGTGGTCTCTACTTGGAGAACAAATCTACCACGACCAAAAAATGCGTTTGAAAAACTTTGACAATTTTTTTTCTTTCATATTTTCCCATTTTTGATGATTCGATGAAACCAAATCCGTCCGGAACCGGAAGAGGCTCCAAATGGTGTCAAGAAGTTTAGCTCGAAAAAATTTGATTTGTTGATAAACGAGCGCAAGCAGCCACAAAAGCCTGGACAGTGACTTCATCCCTTGCCATCTCAAAGATTTGTTTGAGGAGGGCAATACGGTAACAATGACGATAGGGCAAAACGTCCCCAATAGCTATGGAATGCCGATCAATCAATTTAACATGCAGATCCTTGCTGTGACCCACCCAAACGCGCTGGTTATAATGGAGAAGGCCATCCCTCAATGTGAAACCAGGTACTGCATCAGGTGTAATGGAGAGCTTAGTAAGGAGCTCTTGAGCACGGGGCATCGTGAGTATATGGTGGCACTTCCTCAAGCCATCACTGCGGTTGTTTGGGAACGGAAACTGGATGGGATAAGCGATGAGGGAATGCAAAACACAAGCATTGGCCACGCCATTGAACTACGACCACTTGCGGTACAATCTTAAACCAAAGGCCAACAAACTAGCCACGGACACAAACTCAACAACCACGAATGTGCAAGCGAAATTCGCAAAGGCACAAGAGGGCGATATCAGTCACTATCTAGAACTGAAATATTTTTGGGCTTTTTGTAGACTCTAGGTAATGAACAAATATGATTCTAATTGCAATATATTATTTCTCGTAAGTGGACAAACCCCGATACCAATTGATGGACCCAAAGCTCTGCTCAGATAGGCTAAGGGATGCCCATTCTGCATTAATACTACTCCAATACTAGTACCACTTGCATCGGTTTCAACTGAAAAGGGTTTACTGGTCATCAACCCAAGCACAACTTGATTGACGTCTCGTTTTAGAGCCAGGCTTTTCTCCTGCAAATCTATCCAGACAAACATAAGGTAAAACACGTAATCGATATTACAAATATGAATTACGCAATATCAATTAGTCAGAACTCGGTTCCAAAGACTAATCGCCACAAAATGGAGATCAAAACGCCGCCCCGGATCCTGCGAAAGACCCAAAAACTCACCAGATCCTAACTCTTGCATATGCCTCTCGTCATGTCAAACTTCCTCTTCAATAAACCCAATTGTGCCAGCAGCTGCTTGCAACTGTAGCCACACCTAACACTCGACCTAGGGTTGGGGGATCGGCCAGTGACAAAGCATGCATGACACAAAAGTTATCTGAACTCTGGCACCTAACTGAAGAAGCTACATGTCAGAAGCCAAACTGCAAGCTGAGTCTGATAGTCCCCTGCGACAAACAGGATACGCTGTCACTGAACTCAACTGTCAGTTCAGAGTTGTGAAGCACTCCCCAACACCTGAAACAACAACGTAGCATGGCATCACATCTGCCTGACCATTTCACCTTCTTCTACCAGGCATCAGCATTGCAGGGTTGCCGGATAAAGAAATAATTTGGAGGATGAATATGCATGTATTCGGGAAAAATGATCAGAACAGAACAACACATTGATCAACGATGTCCTCATCATCCTCCCTTCTAAGAATTGGAGTTGTCCTCGACTCCATCTTGATTTTTTCTCTCACAATCATCACCAACAAAGATTTTCAGCCATGGCTTATCGGCCAAGCGAACAGGGCATTGTCTCGGTCAATGTCAGTCTCTATCAAGTTGGCATTCAGTCAGAGGACACACGGATGCGTTCGCTGTCAGAAGGTAACCCATCTATCTATTATTACCCAAAAAAAAAGGAAACGATTTTTCACATAACAGACATTGATGCGACTCACATAATCCTGCCGCTGCCTGATCAAGCTAAAATGAAGATGAGATTGCGAATATGTATCTTTTTCATTCATTCACAAGTGATTCTTAATTCCATCACCTCGCACGCATAAACCTCGCTAATTCAAGCTTGACACTCTCACACTGAAAGAAAACAAGAAGAACAACAAAGAAAGAGCTAGAACTGAACATGAGACTGACTAGAAGATGCAGAGAAGACGACGAACTGGCCGTGGCCGTTGGCCGATGGATCAGGCATCTCTAGGATCCAGCTCCGGCCGTTTGGCCACCTTAACCATGCTCCGCTCGACAACGCTGGCGGA